TTTGAATAGGGAAGGAATATCGCAAAGAACTCGTGAGATATTTTTACTGGTATCATTCACTGTTGGTGGGAGCACAGAACAGTCTGTGATTGATGTTAGTTGTCTTTGCCTAAATAGCCAAGAATACAGCTGTGAAGCCTGAGAGATGATTCCACCATGGATTTTAAATATATATGGATAGAACTTGTTGGAATTTGAAGTTATATTAAATATATCAGTATGGTTGCAATAATAGTCCTGATAGCTTTGTGCTCAGTGATTTCTCTGGACAGATAGCTTGTGTGAGTTCAGACGTCTGCAGATCTTGCATTGAAAACCTGATGACAGGAATCCTCATAGAGGGCTGGGCCACATTTGGGTTCTCTAAGTTCATACTGCAAGTCTGCAGGGTGGGAAAGCAATCGGAGGTGGAAATTTCAAAAGCAGCACAGAACAACATTCTCAGGCATAGTTCCACTTGGTGTTGTAATACTGAATACTCCACCCTGACATTACCAACACAATGCGAGGCTATTAGATGCTTCAGGAAAAGTTCTCCATACAACTGACTTAAAGTCATGCAAACCAAGTGCAGTAGAGAACTATAGAGGAAGCTCAGTGTGTTTAATTCAAAACAATTCCTTTAATTTATACACTTAAGGAAGATCAGTCCCAATGACTGACATGCAATTGAGCTCCTGCTCATATCAACAAACGTGTTATTTAATGATGTTACCATGAGGATAAGTTATAAAGGGCAATAGCTGTGTAACAACTTTTAAAATTTATTGTGGGTAGTATGTTGCCAAATGGAAAATTACACCTTTTAGTTGGTCACATCTTTTTAAATATCTTCATTCAGTCTACTGTTGTGTCTGGTATTCACAGTGCCCTAGTGAGTGCATGCTGCTCCCTGTGCTCTCAACAGAGACAACATATCCAGTCATCCAGATTTTCACAAAATAGCCATACTGTGGGGGGTTCAGAGGTGATACAAGGTGGTGATCTGTGACAGCCAGCACAGCTTCACTGCATCTTCAAGATCATGGCTTTGCCAAGGGAGACTACTTCACCAGTCTGATGGCCTTCTATGTTGAAGTGATGACATCAGTAGATAAAGGGAGGATGACTGCTGTCATCTATGTGGACTTGTGCAAGGCTTTGGACGTGATCCTGCACCACATCCTTATCTCTAAATTGGAGAGAGATGGATTTGAGAGATAGACTATTGAGCGGATAAAGAATTGATGGAATGTTTGTAGCCAGAGAGCTGCTGTCAGTGGCTCTATGTCCAGGTGGAGGCCGGTGATGAGCAGTGTCCCCAAGGAGTCTGTCTTGGGACCAGTACTCTTCAACATCTTTATCAGTGACATAGACAGTGGGATTGAGTGCACCTTCAGCAACTTTAATGCTGACATCAAGTTCATTGGTGCAGCTGACACAAAAGAAGGGAGGGATGTCATCCAGAGGGACCTGGAGACGCTCTAAAAGTGATCACAAGAGAATCTAAGGTACTGGGGTTGAGAATCACAGATACAAGTACAGACTGTGAGAAGAACTCATAGAAAGGAGCACTGCAGAGAAGGACTTGGGGGTCTTGATGGATAAAAAGCTGAACGTGAGCCAGCAATGTGTCCTTATAGATCAGAAGGCCAATAGTACTGTGGGCTCCATCAGCAGAGGGGTGGCAGTGGGCAGGGAGGACTGTCCCCTGTGCTCTGCCCCTTGTAAGGCCGCAGTGCTGCATCCAGGCCTGGGGCCACCAGCACAGCAGGGATGTGGGGCTGTGGGAGTGGGGCCAGAGGAGGGCCAGGAGGATGCTGAGAGGGCTGGAGCACCTCTCTATGGAGAAAGGCTGAGGAGCTGGGGGTGTTCAGCTTGGAGAAGGGAAGGCTGTGGGGAGGCCTCACTGCGGCCTTCCAGGGATGAGGAGCTCATAAGCAGGAGGGGTAGTGACATTTTACATGGTCTGATAGTGATAGGACAGCATGGAGTGGCTTTAAACTAAAAGGATGGAGATTTAGGTCAGATACTAGGAATACATTCTGTCCTCAGAAGTGATGAGACCCTGGCAGTGCTGCCCAGAGCTGTGGTGCCCATCCCTGGAGGTAACCGAGGCCATGGATGGGCCGTGGGCAGCCTGGACTGGGGGCACCCAGCCCATGGCAGAGGGTGGGACTGCATGATCTTTTAAGGTCTTTCCAACCCAACCCATTCCACGATTCTGTGAAGAGCTTCTTCTGCTTGGTTTGATCTGTAATATGAGCCCAGACAACAGGTCACTCAGCAAGGGTTCCAGAACCTTCAGAGCTGTAGGTTTTTCTGAGAATGTTGTTTCTTAGTCTCTGCTCGTATTTTTTTATTGTTAATGGATTTTCTTAAATATCGACAAGATAAGAGAGCAAATGAGAGAGTTAATTTTTTAAGGTGTTTACCCATGGTTTCAGCCTTCTGTGATGATCCACTAAAATTATTTATAGAAAGTGAAACAGTCCAACAGGAAAGCCATACAGATTCCTCTGTATTCCACTGGTGGGATTTTATCTGGGAGATCTGGTTTGAGCACCTTGAACAGGCATTTGAAGCTCAGCCTTCCACTTTCCAGAAAAATTATCTCCCTGCAACATACAAAATATATACAAAATACAAAATACAAAATACAATTCTTCTCGCACTTATTTATTTTTTTTTAAATGATTTTAAAAGAAATTAAAAGTAGCCTTGTGCAACTAAGCTCTATATGAAATTGTAATTTTAGGTTTTTAATTCTCTTGACTTTTCAGAATTCCATCATTGGTCAGTTGGAAGAAAGACAGTTCTTCCTTATTCACTGCTCCTCTCTTTCCTGACTGTTCTGGGAGCTTTACTAGTACCAGAGGAGTATTAATTAATCAGGGTCTGAATTAGTGGTTCAGTTTCTGATGATCAGAATCTGAAGTGGTCCCACCTTATAGTGACTTCAGTGGGAGATCTTGGGATCCCATGGATCCCAGCAGAGCCTGGAGTGAGGTCTCAGACATGTTGAACCCTGAACATATGCTTATTTCTGGCCTAAAGCAGTTGCATGCAAGCGCCAAATGAATTCAGATAGATGTTTTTTCCACTGTCACACATAGGCTCCACTCCAGGCATTGTTTTTGAGACAACCATGACGCACTTTGGTGTATCAGTTAGAAAAGAAAACAACACATCCCTAATAAGTTCCAGAAAAACTTACATAAATGTGTGTCACCTGCTGCTCCTGCCTTTGTAAACACGTGCAGCTGACCCATGGGCACAAGGCAGCTCGTGCACCACTTCCACTGGCAGTATTGCACGGATCCCTCAAAGAGCTATAGGTCTCACTGGGTAAATGGGATGCTGGAAAATAGTCAGCGTTCAGCCAATTTTCTAAAATCCAAATGAGCAAAATTGGATTAAATCACAGTAATTTGATTCCATTGTCTCTAGACAAATTCATTGCAAGAGAATAGAGTGTGGGGCTGACCAAGAGACAGAGAGCTCTCCATTCAGCAGGTGTGATGGGTCAAACCAAGGAGAGATTGCTAAACCTCCCAAGCGTTGCCACATGGGGTAGCATTGCACAGCAGGAAATCACCACCCTTCGGCAGAAGCCGTGTGGCAGAGCACAGCTGCAGATGATTAAAGGCACCACTGCCGGGATCTGACAGCAGAATGTCAGTGTCAAAATTCAATTTAAATTGATTAAATAAGGGATGGCAACGCTTTTGTTTTATGGATGGCAGCACTTCAGTCGCTTTAGATGCTCTGCTTTCAGAAATAAAATTCTTTCCCTCCCTGCTCCGTTTGCTGGGATGTTTTCAGTTGGATCGCAGTCACTCCTCCAGTCAATCAATTAAGCCAGGATTTGCCACTGTGTCTGAGAGTCAGCCACAACAGAGCTGCTACAGTTCCCTGGTGCTTGGCCAAGAGGCTTCAGAGGGAGCAAGGCATCAGGTGGCTTAATCCATCTTCCACCACTGGCACGAGGCTTAATGGATGTCAGGGCCGCGGAGAAGTCACGTTCCGTGGAGCTCAGCTCCTGCTCTTTCCATGGCCCTGTGCACAACGCCCATCCCTGCGTGCCAGCAGCACAGCGGAGCCAGCAGAGCTGCAGGTGCCAGGGCTGTGCTGCACAGGATGATCGCTGCTGCCTGTTGAAGCTCGCGCTCTGCTCCATAAATGCATTTATCTCCCAAGGCTTTGTAGTGCCACGCCATGTGAGTAACCTGACGCACTGAGCAGTCTCCCTGAAGTTAAATGGCAGTAAGTTACTCAGAGATAAAAGATCTTATAGGATTAGGCCTTAAACGCTGATTCCAGGCCAGATCTGCAGCAGGTATAAATCACCACAGGTAATTTTCACCAGCTGAAATTCTGGCCCGAAGCCCGTGAGTCATGTTGTTATTTTTTCACATTGTAAATTCTCGCTGTTTCTTATTTATATTGCTTTAGCACTGTGAGGCACTTGTCAGGGGCCAGGACCACATCGTGCTTGTCGCCCTTCGGAGATGCCAAAAGATCCTTCTTGCCCTGGAGGCTCTGCAGTTCAAATAACATGCAAATGTGTGTACAGTCATCCAGTTTTCTATAAGTACATTGTTGCAATCAAATTTTTCTACTAACCTGCAGGTAAAGCTTAAGAACACAAAGTCTGTGCCCCAGGTTGATGTTTTCAAGTGAAAACTTTGCTCTTTGCTTTGCGCCATGTCTAAGCGGAATCTTAAATCTTCAGTTCCTTGAAGCCAGCAGCAGTGTGGGACAAGGTCTTCCACAGTTGAAGGCCCAAGACTTATCTCCACTGCGGCACTCCATCTGAGACATGTCAGAATGAGAATCTGCACCTCAATGAACCTGAAGAAAGAATCACTCTTAAGAATCTTAACAGTGGCTGAATATCTCACCTGTTCTGAGTAGCTTTGAATTTTGATTTTGTTACATTGCTTTTGTTTAATAGCCATGGACAGTGAATGTTTCTAAATAATTCTTTCTGGCCACTCACTCTTTACTTTTTGGCACAGCCCTTGAAAGAGGTTTGGTGAAGGCTCTGAAGAAGCTGGATGACTATCTGAGAACCCCTCTGCCAGAGGAAATTGATGCAAACAGCACTGAAGAAGAGAAGGTGTCCAAACGCAAGTTTCTGGATGGAGATGACCTCACCCTTGCTGACTGCAACCTTCTGCCCAAACTCCATGTTGTCAAGGTAAAAGATGTCATGTGATGGACAAAGAAGACTTATTTGATAGGGAAGTGCTCTGGTTCAAACTTTTTGAGTGTTTGTGCTACATGGTAGGCTAACACACACGTATTTACCCACTCCCTCTCATGGATAAGCAAATGAGTGATATATGAAATGCATAGAGTGAAGTCCCTTCCATTGCTCCAACAGCCAAGTGTCAAGCCAACAGGCTGTTCAGCAGAGGTATCTTAAGTGTTAAGGAAACAGGGTTTGACACACATTCTTCTGTATTTCCTGCAAGTTAACTTAAACCATTTTGTATTTAGTACATGGGAAAATTGTCCCATTAGTAGTCAGTAGCAAAGACAGTGTTAAGATTTGGGTGTCCTTTCTCTTTGCTTTTAAACTGCTGCTGGTAAAAGTCATCTTTCATATTAATTACTTCCCATTATTCTTAAGAGAGGTGTCAAAACTTCAGTCGGTTCCCATCCACTTGTGACATAAGAGAGACAGTCTGTCTTTGGGGGCAGTATTTGTTCCAGCTGGTGTTTCACACAGAGAAGTTAACAAATCAATGTCACAGCTGAGGTCCAGGATTAAAGATATACGGTGGTTGCTGGTACACAGCAAACAATGTGCATCATCTTGACTTCTAAATATTTCATTTATTTAATTTATCGGATTGCATCTTTCTTTAGAAGAAAGCAAGTACCTGGCAGACCCTGGCAAGCAAGAAAACTAGTAATTAAACCAAGACATGCATCTAATTTGGCTCTGTGAGCCAAAACATAAACTGAGCCTAGGAGCTGAAGGCACACATGCAGTAAGATAGATAAAAGTGTATAACTCACCAGGTAAGAACTGCAATTACATCCTCACAACTTTAGCTCTTTCTTTGTCTCATCTTGATTGGTGACTTTGGATTCACACATTGCAAAATCAAATGGTTCCTGTTTCACTGTGACAAAATGAAAGAAGTCAAAAGAGAACTAAAATATTTCTCAGACAAGCATAACCACAGGATATTATCTGAAAAGCATTTTACAGATGTAAGAAAAGGGTAAATTATTAAGAGTTTTTCACATGATGAAAGATGTGTGCTGGAAATTGTGAAAATCTTGACTTGAGTTACCCAGCAGGTTTTATCTTCCCCATGTGTGTGTGAAACATCACTGAAGGCAAGAATGCTTAATTAAATGCAGTTTAAGACAGGATGAAGCGTTACATATACCAAGTGGATCCTGGTAATAAAAGCAAATCAAATCATAGTCATTTCTTAGAACATGACTGTCCTGCGAAAGCTGAGATGAAAAACAGCTCTACCATGTGCTTTTAAAATAAAGGGGAACTCTGTGCCACATATGTATGTAATTTATGCTCAGGAACAATTTTATACTGTCAGAAAAATTAGAGATTGGAAGCACTCATCAAATCAGCTAATCCGTCCTTTCCTATCAGCTAGTTCATTCTGTCACCACAGGATTATTCTATATGGTATGTTCTTACAGAGAAACTGAAATGTCCCAATCCAGCAAGCTGCTTAACCAACCAGCTAGCTTTAAACACAGATTAGTCCCTTGGACTTCAATGGGACCATACAGGTGCTTAAAATTAAGTACGCACTTAAATATTTTGCTGAATAAGGGCCTGAACATTTTTAGAAATTGAGAATTTCCCTTGATGGACAATTTCCGAGTCTAGCAAGTCTTGAAATAACCATTTTCTTTCCCCAGTTTATGCTAATAGTCCTGTTTCTAATGTCTGCTAAATCATCTTGGTTCCTCGATCATGGTACCCATACCATGCCAAATCTTTCCTTTGCGAGAACAAGGACACAGCCTTCCAACAGCTGTAGGCAGTTATGTCTTCTGACTTTGTTGGCCAAATTAAATATATTACATATGTTAAAAAAAATAAAAATGGTAAATATATAATATAATATGTTGAATATGATACTCAGTTTTAAAATGCATTATATATTGACTGTTACTAATGCCTTTCCCCTAAATCTATATATTTTTCATTCAGCTATAAGATCTCTGATTTTGCATCTCTGTGTTAAGAAGTGATGTGCATAGGACTGGTGGAAAACACCAGAAAATAGTAGTAAAATTAATGAACTTTAGGTGCCTTAAAATGCACAATTTAGTGATGGTTGCCAGGCAATTTTATTGAAGTGCCCTTAGGCCAGATAGTGCCCTTGCAAGATGTGGGATCACCATTGGGCCTTTTCAAGCTTTTCTATTCTAAGTCGAAGTGTCCCCAAGAATTTAAAAGAAAATGGAATTATAGAATGGTTTGGGTTGGAAGGGATGTTTTAAGATCGTGGGCAGAGACATATTTCACTAGGCCAGGTTACTCAAAGCCCTGTCCAGCCCAATACTTCAAATGATGGAATCCAACAGTTCCTCTGGACAACCTGTTCTAGTGTCCGACCACCCACTTGTCTCCTTTGCTGTTAATTATACTACAAGAAAGAGTAAGAAGCTCTCTGAAATGCCATCGGGGGATGTATCACCAACAAGTGCTTTCTTTTTTTTCCTCTTTTTTCTTTGGTTTAGATTGTTGCAAAGAAATACCGCAACTTCGAGTTCCCAACAGAGATGACGGGGCTGTGGCGGTACCTGAAGAACGCGTATGCCAGGGATGAGTTCACTAACACCTGTGCAGCAGACAAAGAAATTGAGCAAGCCTATGCGGATGTGGCCAAACGGCTCAGCAAATCCTAACTGACCCCAGCAGTGTCTCGGCATCCCTGGCAGATTCCTGTTTTACGGACTCTTCTCCTTGTTGCCTTAAGATATACCTTATCATTTTGCTATCTGGTTGGCATCCCTATGATTTCACCTGTTCAGGAGTATTTGTCAGGGACAAACATGCTTCTCCCTGGAGGAAGGAGAAGGCAGCTCTAGTGTAGGGGGTGGAGACCCTTTGAAATCTGAACCTACGATCTGACACAACTAGTATTACTCATAATCAGTATTGGAAATGACTCCGCTGTATTAGTTTCTTGTTTTGTGTTGGGGCATATCACCACCTGTTTTCTTTGGAGTTCTAACAGTAGTATGTTAGCTTAAATTTCAAGCAAGTCAGTCAGGAACACATAGAAATGCTTCTTCTGCTGGTTATTTCAAGGGCGCTTTGTTTTCCCGTTGCTATTGAAACCTGTGAGGAAGGAACAAAATTTGTGAGAGAGGCAAAAGGAAAGATTTTGACCCTAGAGGAGTAACGCTCTTAGCAGTTATATTTTTAAACGTCTCTGAAAGCATTTTCTGTCTTAGAAGGCCCAAGAATTTGTAGGACATTTATTTTTAACTTGGCAGAAGAGGGGAAAGCCTAAGCAAATATGTCGGACTTGCAGATGCTCCTTTGCATAACATTTGTGTGATGCTGCTGGATCTAGAGGTGTAAAGCAAAAGAGAGTGAATGGGCAATTGAACAGGAAGCCCTTGGAAGAGGCTAAAGCCAAAATGCCCAGTGGATCTGACAGCTGGGAGAGACAGCAGTAATGGTCTTCTTCTGGCTGGTCCCACAGCCAGAACTGGCACAGCTAACCAAACCATGCAGAACATTGTCATCCTGGCTCTGTGGCTGCCAGTTCCTTTCTGCTGCTATCCTGGGAAGCGTGGCTAGGCAGGAACAAGCTGGTGTGCATTCAGTGGGGGAAGCACTTTCCTTGCTTTGGGCTCCAGATGGGTTGCCTTCAGGCAGCCATCATCCTGCCCAGGGAGCAGCATGCTCTGAGGAGGGGACAGGCTGGGACAGAGAGACCCATTTCCAGCCCAAAAGCTGGTGAGCAGGCGAGGAGGAAGCCTGCGTGCTGCCTTAGTCCTGCTCTCCCAAGGTTTTCACCAGTCCAGGTTAAATGATTCAGGATTGTTTTCTGAAACCGATTATTTCATTCAATCCGGAACATCTGCCTGACACGATTTGCTTTAAAGTAGTGATCATGTGCACATGACTTTAGTAAATCCAGAATGACAGCCCTTTTGCATAAAACTCACATGTATGATGGTGAACGTGAAATGTTTCGGTTTGGGACTATTTGAACACAAACAAAAGCTGAGCTCTTGGCTGGCATGGCTATACTTGTGCTCAGGGCTGAGCCCTGACTGAGGGGAGCCTGGGGGCAGTGGGCTGAGGCCAGGGGAACCCTGCAGTGAGCTGTCTGCAGCCTGAGAGCCAAGAGATGGATCCACAGCCATCGCTGCATGACAGTGATGAATATCTGATGGGATTTTTCCCCTTTTCACGCTCACCCAGCTGGGAGCAGGATACAGTTTGCTTGTTGTTGACTATTGTTTCGCACGCAGTCATCAGTTTGTTTTGAGCTTTCCAAAACCTCAGAACTCCCAGGCCTTCCCCTGGAAGGGGCTATGTTAGAAGTGGCTGGATTGGGGGGCAAAGGCTGCATGAAATCAGCTGGCTCGGAGGGCGCTGATAGCAGCCAGCAAAGCCTCAGGAGCTTAGCAGTGTCTGCACAGGCACATGTGGCTCGTTAAAAAAAACAAAAAAAAACCAAAAAAAACAAAAAAAAAACACTTCTTCATGAGTTTGGAATTACTTGTGATTTTATTTTATTTTATTTTTTAATTTTAGAGGTTGCTGCAATTATTTATTTATTTATTCTGATCCACTCGGTCCTTTCTGCCTGCCTTTTGCTTTTGGTTTGCGCTCAGCGCACTGCTCAGGATGGTATTAGCAGCACTGTGTGATCTCATTTGTTAGGGAGAAGCCTGCTGTGTGATGAACAGCCTCTGGACTGGATTTTGGCTGGCAGCATCCCTTGGCCAGGAGCAGCTTTTTGCAGTTGCTGTTGGCCAGGTTTGCACGCAGTTGGTGGCATAGTGGAAGTGATCTTGGAATGAAGGTGCAGAGGCAGATGCAGCTCTTGTTCTCTGCTCACTGTGGCTAGCTTCTTACAGAAGGCAGAACTCACCTGCAGCTGAGTGGGGTGAGTGAGGCAATTGGGGTCTGCCCTGATTTTGGCCATCTCTGAACCTTCATTCCTAATCCCATGCTTCTACCTGTTCTACCTGTCTGACTTTGGCTTTTCTAGAAGAGGACTAAATCACCATCATTTGGTCTCAGCACGCCGCAAGTTGCATCTGTTTCGCAAAAAATGATGTTTAGAAATGGGTGGGCTCATAGCAAAAGGAAAATGAGCTGTTGGTGCAATGAGTTTTTGGTTAGATGTTCTTAAAATCCTTTATCGACTTGATTAGAAAACGGAAAGCCCCCAAGCTACCTTCCTTTTAATTGGCAATACAAAATCAAAATATTTTCACTTTCTGAGCAACACTGCAAAGAGAAATAAAAATCTGGACAAAATGTATTGATAGATATGAGAAGGAATAAGAGGAAAGAAATGAAACTGGTTTTCCATCAGCTGTAGTGCCCATTCTGGGGGAATCCACATCTTGCTCTGCATCCTAACTGCATTTTGTTCATCACTCTATTATAGGCTGATTCAAGATCATGGAGAGGTTCGAGCATTGCCTGACCTTTGGGTTTGCAGGTTCATGCTGTCAGGTCTGTAACTTCCGCTCACCTTTGTGCTTTTTGGCTTCAGCCATAGGCAAAAGCAGGAAACACTGGAAATCCTATATAGAAAAGTTTGAGTTTGAGTCCTACATTTACTGAATTTGAGCTCAGTATTCCTGACTCAGGATCCATCACCATTGAGATTTTAAGGGGCTCCAGACTCCTTTAGGCAGGGTATTTTCAGTGACCTTCCATTGTATTTAGAATTATAAGTAATAAATATTAATCATACAGGATTGTATGTCTACATTGGCAAGGCAGCATTTCTGAAAAGAATCTAAGTGACAAGACAGACATTGCAGATTTACAATAACTTTGTTCATAAATTTTTTGCAAGATGTAAAGAAAGACATACTGCAGAGGGGGAAGAAGCCAACAATGTGGATTTAATCATCTACATTTCAGAAATGCAGACCAAATGTCTGTAAAGATGTCCATTTCATCCAAACATTTCTTAGATATTTATTTCAAAGCTCCCTGTTCAGTCAATCCAACACTCCATTCATATTGGGACTAATATTGATTTCTCTTCTATTACCAGCGATACGGGAGTGTTAAAGGATCCCATATACAAGTTACTCTTGTTTTTTGTTAGACTTTTTCAGTTGCCAAGAGGTCATCTTGCTATGCAGGTAAGACCAAGGGAGCGTCTATTTCGGGACTGCTTAAAAGAAAGCTTCTGACAAACATTTTTTCCACCAGAAAGAATCTTGTAAAGGTATTTCTTTATCAGGAGTGTTGTGGACTATTGAGCTGTGGGTTACAAGCTCTTCTCCTACGTTTGCATTAGCTGAAAACTACCGCCAGGGAGGAATTATGGTCTGTATTGCAAAGAAGTTAGACATCTTTGTTTCCTGCCATGTTGTGCAGAGCAGTACTTTTGAGTATGTATTTATTTTATTTTGACCCCCAGACAGCTTTTCTCATCCCCTGTACCCACAGAAAGTCAGCTCCAGGTTACCCATAACCATTCTTCCATCCTTCAGTGCCAATTCAGCAGAGTGCCCATGGATGGGCACACAGAGAAGGGCATTTTAGGGCAACCCATTGACCTGGTGGGATGGCAACCAAAGGTCATTGCTTCCAGCAGGGATCCCACCATCGTCCCAGCTGAAAAAGTGAGGAACAAAGAGAGTCCCTCTTTCTGAAGTGACCATGTTTGGCTCACCGCTGAGTTTGGGGTATTGCTAAAATGTAGGGGTTGGAAATCTCACTCTTTGAAACCTAAGGGCACATGGAAGCACACACTTTGTAAAATGAATTGGTGTTTCAAACAGGGAAGTAAACCCAAAGCCCATTGTCTTCATTCACTTGTATTCTTTTAGGCACTGGGAAGTTTGCAGTGGTTTATTATTCTGCTAGATATATTCTTGAATAGCTTTTCATATTAAGAAATATTTTCCAGTAAGATTTTTGCCTTTCTACTCAATCTTTCAACTCTTCATTTATTTTGATGTGTGCAATGACCAAATGATTCCAGAGGAGGCAGGAAAGCTGGGAGGCTCGTACTTGTTGAGAAATTGAAGGAGGTAATGATTTTTTGGAGAAAACAGTGTTCAAAGCATTTTTTTTAACAATCTGTCTTTTCATCTGGGATACTTTAACCAAAAGTGATGCTCTGTTTAGTCTGGGCTGTGATTTTCAGCTGGGACCTGGAACAGTCACCGTGTTCAAGGTGGCTTTGCTGAGAGGTTTCCCCCAGATACATAGGGATGTTCCCTCTTGGTCACAAAATGACCCATTTCCTTGGTCAGGATCTTCTGGTCTATATTGGTGCTAAATTACCACACTCCATTAACTTTGTGCTGGGCAGTGAAAACGGGTCCTACCACCTCCTCTCCTCTTCTGTGCAGGGAAAGAAAAGATCAGTGACCTGTTTTACTTCCTTGTCCCACATCCCAAGCAACACTCCAGCCCCAACGGAGCACAGGGCCCTGCCCAACATTGGTATCCAATACCTGAAGACCCCCACATCCCTCACCTGGCAGCATTTCGTAGCCCACAGCCATCTTGCAGCTCCTTGTTCCCCTCTTGGCCCTAACCATCCCCTTTCAACATTTATCAGAGAGATGCTAACAGTGGCAGTATCCCAGAGGATGCGCACCAGCTGAGCAGCTCTGAGGGATGCCATCGGCCCAGCCCAGCAGGTGATGGCTGCACTGCTGGGGGATGGCCACCCCTGCCCAGCAGTCCCCCATTGGTGTTGCAGTGTTTGGTAGGAAATGCTGATATCATACCTATTGCCAGCAGTGCTACTCCACAAGCAGAGCTGTCGATGCCACCTCTTGCTGCCCCAGCTCAATGACTTGAAGGATGTTAGTGGTTAGTGCTGAACGAGTGCTTGCCTGCACTTGCACTTGCAGGACTGGGGCCTGAAAGTCATGGCAGGAAAGCCTCTATCAAAGAAGCTGTTATTATCCTGTTTCCTTTGAAATCCATGGCAGAATT